ATCGCCTCTTTGAGTGGCCCAAACATGTGATAATCACTTGGGGCTAGGTCTGGTGAGTATGGCGGATGTCGAAATGCAGGTCTTGGATTTTTGCAACTGTTGCACGGGCAGTATGGGGCCGAGCATTGTCATGTTGTAAAAGGACACCTCTAGTCAAAAGTCCACGTCGCTTTGATCTGACTGCAGGTCGAAGATGATTCTTTAAGAGATCTGGATATGAGGCACTGGTGATAGTGTTCCCCCGAGGCGTGTAGTGCTCCAAGAGTACGCCTCGTTCGTCCCAAAAGAGAGTCAGCATATTCTTATCTGCAGACGGCTGCGTCCGGAACTTCTTGGGTTTTGGTGATGAGGAATGAGGCCATTCCTTGCTCGTTCTCTTTGTTTTCGGTTGGTGGTAGTGCACCCAAGTTTCATCGCTAGTAACGATTCTCGAAATGAAGCCACCATCTTCTGCTTCAAGGCGCCGCAGAAGTTCTTCACAGGCGTCAACACGTCGTTGGTTCAATTCTGGAGTCAGCTGCCGTGACACCCATCTTGCAGACACTTTGTGAAACTGGAGCATATCATGAATGACATGGTGTGCCGATCCGTGACTCATGTTAAGAATTTCGGCTATTTCATCCACCGACACTCGGTGATTCTCCATCACTAGGGCTTCAACTGATGTAATAGACTCAGGGGTCACAACTCTGTGCGCCTGACCAGGGCGAGGAGCGTCTGCCACAGACGTCACACCATTTCTGAATTTCCTACTCCACTCGTATACTTGCTGCTGTGACAAGCATGCATCACCATACTGAACCTACACCTTCACTGATCAAAAAACGAATTACAGAACGTTGTTCTTCTTTCGTGCATATAACTAGTGGAGCAGCCATCTTCAAACTGGCACTGTGATGGCGTTATATTTGTCTTCATTATACTGCCACCTATAGGATACGCTTTATGGCATTGGTAATATGTCTGCCAACTTATAGGACAATGGCGCGATATTTCGAATTTTTATCTCAGTTTTACGGTTTTCATTTGACTCACCCTCGTACATCTTATATTTGCATGCTATAAGAGATGTTTAGACGTCGGTAAAGTCATATCTACCGACTTTGACATGCTTTATTCTCTACCGAACAACAAGCAGAAAGGCACCACATATTACACATCTCACTGGCGACAGTGGTACAGTCCGTGAAAAATATTTCACACGGTCAGTATTCAAACAAAAGGAACTGTGATACTCTCAGAACATATTTTCACCATATTTAGCAAAGTTCTTCCATTTTATGCAAGTTATAGAAAAGATCAAACTAGTTCATAATAGTTGCTGAACTTATACAGCTCAGTGGTGATTTAGTGTAATTAATTCCAACTCATTAAAGCATAAAACTACGTAGATTCTACACAAAAAGATGAGTTCCTTTTATCTACTTTTTGTTGTGAATTTCATACATGTATGTCATCTGTTTCCAGGAACCCACTTTTACAATGGAGACCTTCAGCCTGCTACTTTGTGGAGTAATTCTATTATTAAGTGCCTTGTTTCTACATTCAAGAAACACTAAGCGAGCTCAGTTCATCAGAATGATAGATCAGATACCTGGGCCTCGTGCATACCCCATCATTGGTTCATTATTGCCGTTCATCTTCACGAAACGAAGCGGTGAGAAATGAAATATATGTATCTGCTTGCACAAAAGCAGAATTGTGACAATGAAGTGTGTCTATTACGGCGTGTTACTGAAGTTGGTCTATAAACAAATAGATATGAACCCTATGTAATTAAATTTTCACCCTAGTGTATTTAAGTAATTTTACTGGAAAGCTGCTTTATATACCTGTCAATAATACCTCATACATATGCTATATGTTATAAAAGTCATATATTATGGTATTTCATTACGTTAATAATATGATGCCATAAGAATCAACCTTGTGTTTCTGTTCATCACATCACTACACTGTGTCAAAAATGCAGCACAAAGTATTACTAAAGTTTTAGGAGAAACTCTTGAATCATTTTTCAAGGTTGATCCCGACCAATGAGCAGTGGAAACCTGAAGTGTCTGTTTTATGTTTCTGTTGTCTCAAGATATGTTTGAAGTGGGACAGAAGATCATCTACAAGCACAGTCCAATATTTCGCATCTGGATTGGTCGTTTGGCTGATATCAATCTCACACGCCCTGAGCACGTAGAAGTGAGTCAGTTTTATTTACAAGTGTTAGTCATCAATTAACATAAGCACCTGAACTACAGAATGTCAGGATGTCATTGAAGGCATGTAAAAGCTCTTTGAAATGAGCAAGCAGCAATGCGCACATAACTTAACATTCCAAAGCAATTTATATTTTCTGTATGCCAAAAATAATTTCTGTACCAATGTAGTATCCGAATTTAAGAGAACACAGAATTTCACCATGAAATATCCTACCTTTTTTCAAATAAAATTCAGCATCAATTTTTTACCACCTGGATGACCTGCTACTCCTATTACCATTCAAACCTATCAATTAAATCTGTAATCCTTTATTAAAATTACCACTGTCTGCCAACACAGGTTTGAACTCTGATATTACAGTACAGTGTGTTAATACGCAGGTGGTTTTGTCAAGCAGCAAACATCTGGACAAGGCCATTATGTACACGTTCCTTCACAGATGGCTTGGTACTGGACTTCTCACTGCTACAGGTACGTGGCACAAGTTCCCATATTTAGACACTATCACACGTAGATAAGCACACACTACTAGATGTAAGAAATGTGTTTATTCCATATTTCATTCTGACTGCTTCAGCCCTTGTCACATGGTAACAGGGGATTTAAATGCCAACAAAAACAAGGTTGCCAACCAACTACTACATGGTTAAATTCTTTGCAGTATGCTAGTGCAACACACAGCCAGCTACATTATGCATAGCATATGCCCCCATATACCTTCATGCTGTAGCTCTTAACTAAGCACAGGTAACTAAAATTTGTAACATGCATAGTGCAAGAGTTTAGATACACCTTTGACATGAAAGGGAAATATCTTGCAGTGTTCCACATTTGGAAACTTGTTTTGTATCTCATTTAAGACAATATGCCTCCATTTTCAATCATCTAAAATTTACAGAGATAATCTTCTGCCACTTTTGCATAACATCAATAACTAATTACCATTACAGTGGCCCAGAGACAATCGCGAGTATTTGATACACAGAGCGGAGTTTATGATGTGCGTTGAAATGTTCTTCTATGTTAGTACCACATTCCTCTTAAATTTGTTACCCATTCAAAATAAGAATACAGATAAGTATTCTTTATATACTGACTCAAAATCTGTATATTAATATTTAGCATGGTGAATTTGATGATGTGATGGAATTATTGTCATTTTAATATTTGGTTAGAATAAGTATGAACTCTTGAGATAACATTACCTCTAACACTTCTTATCTAGGTCAGAAATGGCACTCCCACAGGAAGATGATCACGCCGACTTTCCACTTCAAGATCTTGGACAGCTTCGTGGAGGTGTTCTCGGAGAAGAGCGAGATTCTAGTCAGCAAACTGCAGAAGGAAGTCGGATCTCAGGGCTTCGACGTATATCCCTACATCACTAAGTGCGCACTGGACATCATTTGTGGCAAGTGACTGAATGCCAACTTACCAATTTTTAATAAATTGCAAATTTTTGTAAACTCAAACACATCAAATAGTAGTAAATCAGAACTCCTAAGACAAAATAATGAAATAAGTAACTGTTATATGCTTCATGAGTCAAATCGTTTTCATCAGACTGAAGACTGCAGCAGAGTGGTTAACACCCATATGCCATATTTGGGAGTTACCAGCGGTTGGCTATCCAAAGGTGCTTTGCAGTTTTTCTAAGTCTCTTCTGGTAAATACCAAGATAATATTTACAATTAGGCCACAACCACTTCCGTACACATCTTTGTCACATCATAATCCACTGATCACTGTGTCATCAAACACTATAATATGAGGTACTTATGGCATTGTTTTAGAAACCACGAATAAATAAATTAAAAGTTATCAGCAGAAGCTATTTTTTTAAAATCAATCTATATCATTCAAGTGATTGCTCTATCGTTAAATGAATCACATGCCAGAGATTTGTGTTCCTCATTCCTTATCCATGTTACATGTCTGGTACATTCACTCTAACTGCCAACAATCACAAGAATACAGAATAAAACTGTCTTATAACTACAAACTGAATAGGCAGAATCATTATTTGTTGCATTTTAATCATGAATACATATGCTAAAATTTTAATTGAGTTCATTATATCTTTAATTACTCTTCTGTTCTGATACTATTACAAAGTTAAATATTTTCTTCACATACCGACATACTTCACAGTACCCCATTCTGAATTGAACCAGCTGTAACCTAACATGCCGATAGATCTATGGAGGAGCACAGTGTTTTGATGGGAAGCGTGTTGTGCTATGTGTTCCAGAGACTGCGATGGGGACCCCAATATTTGCACAGGATGATGGGAACTCAGAGTATGTGAAGGCAGTTTACGAGTGAGTTTTGGCCTTCAACATTCTCAGAATTTTGCAGAGAACTTGATTTTTGACAAGGTTTTTCTTAAGATTAATTGTAATTAAATAATTACATTGAAGATTTCATTTTCAATATAAACTGTTTGTTTTATGTGTTATTCATATGTACGATCTAAAGCTTTCATAGTGACTGAGAATAATGCATTCTTCTTGGGCTACCAGCCATGTGAGGTGGTTGAAAGGCGTAAAGGTGTACAGGCACTTGAAGAACAGGTCGTTCCCAGTGTCCCAGTTTAAAATAGCTTTCTTATGCAGTGTGTATTATACAGTTCTTTTAATTTTGCAACATTTTGGCAAGAATTACCTGTAACACTTTCCAGTAAGTTCAACCAATGCCAGGTGAAAAAATTTGTTGACACTTAGCAGTACACCAAGTCACATCCCTTCATAAATGTGGGTTCAGTGAATGTTAGTTTCTTCAGGTCATAATATGATGTGTTTCAGCATGAGTGAAATTGTAGTAGAGCGAATATTACATCCATGGCTGCATCCCGAATTCATTTTTAAGCTGTCTGCATCAGGCAGGCGCCATGATGTATGTCTAAAAGTGCTGCATGGATTCACTAAGAAGGTACGCTCCAGACAGAATTATTTTTATCTATGTCAGTAACTTCCTGTTTATCGTTTACCAAAATATGTCTAAAACTTAACTCCTGGAAACCTTTTATTGTCTAACAACACTACGTATATAATGGATGATACAACTGTGTTCAGTTGACCGAATTAAGAACAGGGATTGGATTTCTGAGTGGATACTTGCAAATGGCAAAACCAGAGACTGATGCCTTTTTAGTTACGCCAGCTACAAGGAAGAAACACTTAAACATGAACAATTATTATTATTATTATTTATTATTGACTGCAAATGGGTTTTTACTCGGTGGCAGTGACCTACAATAAGACACAAAACAATAAGACAGAACAGAACAATGAGACACAACAAAACAATGAGACAAAAAACAATAAGACACAGGAAATATAAGACACAACAAAAACAATGAGACACAACAAAACAATGAGATAACAAAACAATGAGACACAAAAAACATAAGACACAACAGAAACAATGAGACACAACAGAACAATGAGACACAACAAAACAATGAGACAACAAAACAATAAGACACAGAAAATATAAGACACAACAAAAACAATAAGACACAACAGAACAATGAGATACATCAACACAATGAGACAGAACAAAACAATAAAAAAACATAAGACACAACAAAAACACTAAGACAACAAAACAACACATCCCACTCAAAATAAAACAACTCTTAAGATTACAGAACCATCTAACCTAAAGTACTCAACTTAAAAATTAATACCAACTAGACATAAGACAAGAACAGTAATGAATTACATACGTCATGAACTAATGCACTCACACAACAAAACAATGAGACACAACAATACAACATACCACACTCAAAATAAAACAACTGACACACAATACAAAAACACACATCCACTAATTAATCACAATACTTAGAGTAGAATATAAAGTCCGCCCTCAGTACATGAAAAGTTTATCCCAAACAACTACAGCCCTTCATCACTTGGAGACTAAGACACTTCACTTCCCTTATCACCATCTAATCCCCACTTAATAACCCCTAGCTTGTAATTACTTTCCTGACCCTCTTTCTAAAGGTGAATAAATAATGATTTGAATGAAAATCTTCTTGGATATTATCCATCGTCTAACGTAAAACGACGTTTCGGAGATGGGGCTCTATCTCCGTCTTCAGGTTCCTACTCAGTTGGGCCCACTAGATAGAGCTATTCCCTATTTCCGGACAAAGTAAAAAGTGAAAGATCGAAATATAATAACACCACCACACCATCCATCCATGGGACGTAAGAAACAGAAATAGTAGAAAAAAATTAGTTAAAAACGAAAAAGCCAAATAAAACAAAGACTCACAAAATGTGGAAATAAATACATATGACCATTAATTTGAAACTCGATGCACAACTTGGACTTCTTCAGAGATAACCGGAATCCAAATACGAGATAAATCCAAAGTAGGTTGGCTGATAGGATTGGCAAGTGTGCCGCCTCCTTGTATTTTATGTAGACGGTATTAGGTTCTGTTAGTAACATCCTGGCTCCATCCCAACAGATATGATGATCTTCATACGCATGTTGGGCCAATCTAGATTTCTCCAGCAGACCCTGTCTGAAGTTATATTTATGTTCCTTTATGCGTACCTCCAGATTTCTGCTAGTTTCGCCAATATACCATCTACCGCACTCACAAGGGATCCCGTACACACACTGCCTAGTCTGCCTCTCGACTGTTTTGGGTCTCATGGACATCAATAAACCACGGAGAGTGTGGCCGGTTTTAAAAATCGTCCTGAAATTATGACGGTTCCCAATTCTTCTAAATTCCTTTTGAAACACTTTTGACATCTGGGATAACTGCCGTACCCAGAGATGTTCTGTCAGGAGAAGGCCGGATGTTTTTGGACGTAAATACGTCTATATTTTCGGGTCAGTGTCATTCGGCAAAAAGTGAAACGAAAAAGTGTAAGTTCATTGTTATGTTACCTAGGAAACTCAAACTTCATTGTTACGTTACCTGGGAAACGAAAAAGTGTAACTTCATTGTTATGTTATCTTGGAAACGTCATCTGTTATCAACAAATAAACAACAATGGTTACCTACATAGTTACCTTACATTACATTACCTTACCTTACATTACATTACCTTACCTTATATTACTTATATTACCTTACCTTATATTACATTACCTTACCTTACCTTACATTACCTTACTTTACTTTACCTTACATTACATTACATTACCTTACCTTACATTACATTATATTACCTTAACTTACCCCACCTTACCTTACATTACATTACCTTACCTTACCTTACCTTACCTTACCTTACCTCACCTTGCCTTACAATACCTTACCTTACCTTACATTACATTACCTTAACTTACCTTACCTTACCTTACCTTACCTCACCTTGCCTTACAATACCTTACCTTACCTTACATTACATTACCTTACCTTAACTTACCTTACCTTACTTTACCCCACCTTAACTTTCATTACCTTACATTACCCTACCTTACATTACCTTACATTACATTCATCTACCACAGACCCATCTGAAGCCTTACTAATTCAAGTTAAATAAGCAATGTCTTAATCAAACTTCACTCAATTGTAAAGCAGGTATGACGTATTTACGTCAAATTCTCCGGAACCGTGGTTCCACTGACAACTTTCTCTTCAGACTTAATAATAGATTCAATTAACTGGCGAGGATACCCATTCAGAGACAAATCCTGTTTGATGATCTTAATTTCTCTATGAAAATCGTTCTTCTTTTGACGTGATCTTAGCTCTATTAACCAGACTGTGAACCACTCCCCTTTTTACGTGGAGTGGGTGATTAGATTTGAAATTTAAATAACGACCAGTATGTGTGGGTTTCATATAAACATCCGTAAGTAAACTAGAACCCTTCTTCATAACAAAAACATCCAGGAACGGAAGAGTACCATTGTTTTCCATCTCCATGGTATTTATTCCCACATTTTGTGAGTCTTTGTTTTATTTGGCTTTTTCGTATTTAACTAATTTGTTTCTACTATTTCTGTTTTTTAAGTCCCACGGGTGGATGTTGTGGTGGTGTTATTGTTTTCCGGCCTTTCACTTTTTACTTTGTCCGGAGATAGGGAATAGCTCTATCTAGTGCGCCCAACTGAGTAGGAACCTGAAGACGGAGATAGAGCCCCATCTACGAAACGTCGTTTTACGTTTTATATTTTATTGACTAGATGATGGATAATATCCAAGAAGATTTTTTTTCAAATGACTCATCATCATCGTCGTCAAGAACTTTTAGATTTGACAATTAAATAATGAGTAATACTGAGAGTATTATTCGCCATTGACATTCACAAAACGTGCTGGCAAGGACAGCCAGTGGTCTTAAGGTTAGCCAATAAAATCTCTTCCTCAAGCTTTCAGTTGGGGCTGACAGTCCCTTGCAACATTGAATTTTTGGGTTCCATGAGAAGCTGGAAATTTGAGTAACAAAGTGGAATCTTAGGCTCTGAAGAGTTCCCTACTCCATGCAGTTAGTTAGTTCAGCAACTTGCTATATATATTTTTGGAAGCCTTTCCATACACAAACAAATCACATTCATTACTAAATAGCAAATGCACCTAAGAATAAACATAACACACATTCTCAAACATGCTAACTAAACTTTACCATGTAAATGTATACTGTTCTTTGCAGGTGATTGGAGAACGTAAAGTCCAAATGCTGATCAACAGAGAGAACTCTGATCAATTTTCAGGAAGCAATGATGAAGCCATGGGTGGGTAATGTTATTAAATCTAATTCCACCGAGTTGTGTCCTTGAGAAACCGAGTCACACAGCTGGTCAGGAAATTCCCTTTTACGGACCTAAAAGTCTCATTACCATTTTTATAACAGCCCACCATTGTATCATATCCTCAGCCAGTCCAATCTTATCTATGTTTTCACATTGTATTTATTTAACATCCCCTTTAATATATCCCAATTTGTGCACTGATCTTCCAAGCAGTCTCTTATCTTCAGACTTCACGATTAATATTTTGTCCACAACTTTTAAACAAAGGTAGATGAACAATCAAACGCAATATCTCCCAAATACAAAGTAGGATAGCTGACCACTTGAGCTAGGTTTGGTGAAAATTAAGAGAAGAGAATCGGCCACAATTTCTGGTTCTTCTGACGAGACAATGACAGGATACCATCCAAGTACAAAGTAGAAACACTGACAGTGTTTGTATAAATTGTTGATATATACAAATCGAGTTTTTAAATCTCTATTATCTTAAAAGACAGGCCATTAGACTAAATAACACTAATATTGTGACCAATACAGAAGCTTAAAAATGTGAAAAAAATTTAATTATTTAATGGC